TTGATTGTGTATATTTTGAAATCCTTCGTTCAAATTCCCATAAAGGTCATTCCTCACATGTTGGTACTCATTTCCCTATGCTCGATGTTGATCATTGTTTCTATTCCTCCTCAATAGATACGGGGATTATTAGTAGCATGATTTTCTACCCTCGTTTGTCGAGGTATAGCCAATGCATCCCCGATTCGTGACATTTGGTCCGCTAATATCTCAAAACTAGCAAGTAGTGTTTTGAACTAATGGATTTAGAACTGTAGTCAACTCGTTGTGATAACATATTCACCATCTCAAAATTACTCTCATCCATTTGTTGTCTAAGTATTCCTAAGGAGTTACTAGATATGTCAGCATTCAGTATTTTCGATAGTATCAAAATTAGATCGATGATAATCCCTATCGAACGCATATCTCCCATGATCTACGTTTCCTCTATGATCTAGATTTGGAGGTATTTGTCTGCGTTCCTACATTCTCGCACACTCCCCGAGTTCTGGGAATTACTAAATTTTGAGATGTTCCTAGGTTAGGAGATACTCCAAAATTCCGTGGCATACCTAGGGTTTGGAATGTTCCTAAGTTATATCTCGAATTTCGTTGCATCGAAGAAGTACCCACCCCATTCATGTTAAGCGAAAACTCAGGTGGTCTTATACTCATATACGGCCCCGCATTTGTTGTCACAGGGTTTCCCATAGTTGGCATACTGTTTAGTGCCACCGTACTAGATCCTACTTGGGTATTTGCTAAAGTGCCTGAATTTTGTTCATTACTCACAAGTATCGACATACTTACAGTTGTCGATACTACAGGTGTATTCCCATTATGACTTTGCCCCCCAATATTTGATGAGTGTGACCCATTTAATCCCTCGGTGTTACTCTGGTTACTTGATGAACTCTGACTCATGACTCTCCCACTCCTTAATCTCATACGCTCTCGAACTAACCAATTTTGTGTTTCTCAACACAAGACCCCCTACTGGCGCGCCAATTTGTTTTCGGTGGAATTTCGATCGATTTCGATTCTAAACAGTGTTATGGTCCTAATCGAAATCCTCCCACGTAAGTTCTTTTTACTTAGGCTAGCAGTCTGACTTTCAATCGAAAACGTGTATGAGAATCGAAAGTTACAGCCTATAAAAATGCTATTTTTTAGTATTTTGTATTTTAAAGTACTAAAAGCAGTAAAACTATCGAATCGAAAAATAGAATGTTAAATTGCGAGGAAATGTAAATTACGAGAACCCCAAGTTTGCAATAATTGTAAATGACAAGGAATCGGAAATGACGGAAATGTAAATGGCAGGAAGTTAAGTTTGCATGAAAAACTAAATGACGGGAAATCGGAACGTGCAGAAAATATAAATAACTGGAAACTTAGACGCAGAAACTTAAATTTTCATTGAATTGAAATGACAAGGAATCGAAAGTACAGAAACATAAAACTGCTGAATTTAAATTGCATCAAAGTAAATTACCAAGGAAAATACAGAAAGCGGTAAATGTACTCAGTGAGCAAGGAAATCCAGATTGCCAGAAGCTTCATGGTGTTCGTCGTTTCTCCGGTAGACTTCTCACTACTCGATTCTGTCCTCTCGCCAATTTCGCCCCAGTATTTGATGAGTGTGACTCATTTAATCCCTCGGTGTTACTCCGGTTACTTGATGAACTCGACTCATGACTCTCCCACTCCTTAATCTCATACGCTCTCGAACTAACCAATTTTGTGTTTCTCAACACAAGACCCCCTACTCGGCGCGCCAATTTGTTTCGGTGGAATTTCGATCGATTTCGATTCTAAACAGTGTTATGGTCCTAATCGAAATCCTCCCACGTAAGTTCTTTTTACTTAGACTAGCAGTCTGACTTTCAATCAAAAACGTGTATGAGAATCGAAAGTTACAGCCTATAAAAATGCTATTTTTTAGTATTTTGTATTTTAAAGTACTAAAAGCAGTAAAACTATCGAATCGAAAAATAGAATGTTAAATTGCAAGGAAATGTAAATTACGAGAACCCCAAGTTTGCAATAATTGTAAATGACAAGGAATCGGAAATGACGGAAATGTAAATGGCAGGAAGTTAAGTTTGCATGAAAAACTAAATGATGGGAAATCGGAACATGCAGAAAATATAAATAACTGGAAACTTAAACGCAGAAACTTAAATTTTCATTGAATTGAAATGACAAGGAATCGAAAGTACAGAAACATAAAACTGCTGAATTTAAATTGCATCAAAGTAAATTACCAAGGAAAATACAGAAAGCGGTAAATGTACTCAGTGAGCAAGGAAATCCAGATTGCCAGAAGCTTCATGGTGTTCGTCGTTTCTCCGGTAGACTTCTCACTACTGATTCTGTCCTCTGCCAATTTTTGCCCCCCCCCCATTGTTCCGTCCTTCTTTGTTCTATTTATAGGACATCGTTCAAGCTTTCCAGGAGCAGTTAACAAGGCTGCTACCACGTTCTACGTGCATATGACAGTTTACCTTCCACGGTCTCCCACGTTCTCACGATCTTCGACTTCCTCCAGGGTTTCGAAACTGCTCTCTATACGTGCGTTTGACTTGTTCTTCTCTTCACGGTTTGGCCAGAATCCCAATGTCCACATTGGCTTTCTTCACTCTCGATTTTGTATTTTCGAGAATTTCGATTTTACTTGCAATTCCTAGGTCTCATATAACTTAGTTTTTATTCAATAACAGGTATTTGGTTATCATTCACTCGATTCTCGATTGTGCTTCTCGATGCTACGTACTTCTAATTGGACATCGAATGATTTCTTTTGTCTATCTTACCGATTTATCAATCGATCATATTTCTCGATTCCACAATAACAGTTAGTCTTTTTAAAATAATTGATGAATAAATAAATTATATGTTTGTAGTGAGAAGAAGAAAAAAGAAAAAAAAAATTCAAAACATAGTAATCGAGTAACTCTTTTGTAAAAGAGTTAACTTGGGTAAATGATTTTTTTACCAATTATATTTGCTAGAGTTATCCATTATCCTAAAGATGTTATGTTGATTCTTAAAATTTGAAGAAAAAACTATGTTGTACTCATTAATTTTAATTTATGAAAGCTTTTATTAAACTAGATTTTGTGGACTTTTCTTTTATGATGTTCAAACATGATATTATTGATTTTTGGTTTTTCTAATTTTGTTATATATTATTATTTATCATTTATTTGATATTTTTAAATATACTTTTAGAATATGTAAATTTTATTTCTACTTATATTTTTGTTATCTCCGTGAACATTGAATGTGTTATCAAAACTATTATTTTAAGAACTAATGTAACCAACAAATCTTAAAATGATACTAATCTTAAACCTGAAAGAATATTCAACTTAAATTAAGTTGGAATGATATGATAAAAATAAAACCCAAATATTAGAATGTAACGTTTAACACGTCATAGTTACTTCTCACAACACACCTTGCAAATATCCAAGAGTATACATAATTACACAATCGAAGTTTTTTTAACCAGCATATCAAACAAATTCAACATGAATAATTTGAACAATTAATAGAGTTAAATTAGTTTCATTTTAAAATAAATATAAATAAATAGATAAAAAATATAACTATTTGTGTGTAATTTATCATGGTTATGTATGCATATAACAGTAATAATTTTGGACAAATTTTAAAATGTATGATTGATGACGTGTTCAAATGATACCGTTTGAAGTACCAATGACCTTGCAAATGTCAGGATAAACCTGCTTCGATTTCTTTTCTCGTGACTCCTTTTGTTTTCTTGAAAGCTACTTTTCGACCTTTGGACTTTTATGGTTCACTTCCCACCTCAACATCAGACAAACATTAATTAGATAAAGAAAAATATAAATTATAATTAACACTTAACTAACTATAATTTATAATACTACCCTAATTTACTTTTGACTATGACAATGACACTAGCATGTTCAAATAATGAAATTCTTTTTAAGAATCTCCCTATCATTTCTTGTATATTTCACTAACGATCATAAATATATATTAAATAAAGAATACTAAAATTAAATTAATAATGATTTTGTTAAAAAAAAATATTTAAGAAAATACCATTTAAGAATAACTTTTTTTAAGATAAAAGTAATACAAAATATAAAAAAATATTTTTTCTCTTTTTTTATTGCTTATAAAAATATATCATTACCAGTACTTAGGTTATCAAATTGTACAACAATTGATCATGATTGATATGTTTTTAAAAGTTAACAAAATGTTTTTAAAAGATATTTATTGAATGAATTATTAAAAAAATTCTCTCATTGAAGAATGATTTTAAAAGCACTTTTATTTTATATAGTTATAAAAGATGGATAATATTTATATAAGATTTTTTATAAATATTCTAAAATGTAATATATATTAAGATTATAAGGCATAAAATAGGAATTAATTTAAAACGCAAGATGAATTTTAAATAATTATTGCTTGTAATAAGTGAAGCTCAGCTAAACAATTTTTTGTTTTAACATAATTTAAAATAACAGTTGAGAAATTAAAAATGATATATGTCAGGTATTAAATATTTATAATTTTTCTAAAACATTAAAACTGTAATTATTTATTCTAAAGAGGATCAGAAACATATCTACAGACAATACATTAGATTTAAAAGTATGAAAATGATGACAAAATTTTAAAAAAATAATGACTACTGTTATATTTATTTTAGATTTTATTAAATATTTATTTAATTTTAAATAGTTTATTAATATATTATAATTGCACTTTACTGCTCCACAACACAAAAAATTCAAATAAATTATTGTCACTGCGTTGCATGCCTAGAATCTCCACAATAAATTATTTGGATTCTAACTAGTAATCAATATTTCAACATATTTTGACTTAACTAAGCATTATCCTATTTTCTTTTATATTCCACTAAATAAATATCACTATCATTTCCAAAAACCCTCGTTCATTCAATCACCGTCCACCTAATAATGAAGGATCCAAGCACGCCGAAACGCATGCAAAAAGCAGAGTCAAGTTCTCTTGCATGCCATAGCACCAAGATGAACTCTCCACCAAAACTCACCCCGAAGAAAAGAGTTTTCAAGGTAGAACTTATTATTATAGTTAGTTTTTGCATTGCATGTCGCGTAATTAGAGTGTTTCACTGATAGTGATTGTATTGCATGTCGCTGAATTAGAGTTATTCATTGTTCGGTGAAGTGTTTATTTACCATGCGAGTTTTGAATTTGAGATTTTGAAAAGAGAATGTGAAAATTGAGATAATTTCTAATGTGTGTTTGTTTGCTTGAGTAGAACACCACACCGAGGAAGAACACCACACCAAGGAAGACTAATACCCCGAAGAAGACTAGCACACCGAGGAAGACTCCTGAGAAAAATGGATCAGTTGTTGTTTCCCCAGGATCTGCTCCAAAGATCGATCTGAGGTTGGAGGCAAAATTGTCAGCGGAGGTTAGTGTTTTCTGTGTTACTGTGCCCCTTAAGGATTTTTGTTTTTAGTTGTGTGGAATAGTGCTATTTGATAAAATTTTGATTATGTGAACTGTTGGTGCATTAAGTTAGGTGTGATCTGATATATGTTGTGATATATGTTGTGTTTTCTGTTCCTTTTTGAATCAGGAAGATAGGAGGGTGTATGCAGGAAGGAGAATACATCCATATTTTACCTTGTGGAAGGAAAGGAACCAACGTGAAAAAGCTTTAAATGAGGCTAAGAGGAAAGCGAAAGGAATTCGTGCTGGTGTTCATGTATTCCAAAATGTTCAGGTATGACAATTATATCTTTAATTTGATTTTGCTGCCTCAATGCAGTTTAAAACTCCTCAACTGAACTAGTACCAACTAAAATAATACAAATTGGAACCAAATTGAATTAACTTGAATAAAAATTTAACTCAATTATTCTTTTAGTTTAACTTTTTATAAAAATCAAACTGCTCATAAATTAGTCTCAACCGAACTGAATTCTAACTTAAAAATTAAAAATATTGTGAAAAATATGTTTGAAAATAAGATATCTACGAAACATCTCAAAATTTTTTCACTCAAACCAGGTTCAGTTCTGGTTGGACTTTGTTCTATATTGTTCAGTTCAGTCATCTACTTAATTTCCCACTACCTGCCTCTAATATGATCAAAATGATAAGTTGATTTGTGAGAAGTTTAAGTGTTTCTCCTCTATTTGGTGTAAAAAAGTTAAGTTTGTGGTTGATGGGGTTTTATTTTTCTCTTTTTAATTTTTACTTTTTCATCATACTAAATTTCTTTTATTAAAAGAAATTTATCAAAGATTTATGTATGTATTTTCTTGTTCTCTGAGTTTTAATACTGGAATTTTTTTCTTGTCAATGTAGGATGATGTCTCACCCACTGACTGGAGTAACTGGACATTCTTGGATAATAACACAGTTGCACATCTTGGTACAGAAAGTTCAAATTTGTCTGTTATGGATGGTTCGGTTGAATCCTTAAATTTTGATAACATGCCTAGTGCTTTGAGACTCTCAAGTACTTCAACCTCTGAGAATATCATGTCTTGTCCAAGTCAACTTTCTATACAGTCAGATAATATGTTGGAAATATCACCACCAAACTCAGCTGTGTTAGAGCAAGAAGAATGTCATTTGAAGTCAGAAGATGTCAAAGTGGTACATAATTTATTTTTCTATATATATAATCTACTTAAGATCCTATGCCGTGGACCCAATAATAACCTGTCTAATTGCCAAAAATTATTGTCAGGACCTGGACTTGAAGGTGAATGAAAATACTTTTTCAGGACATAAGGATATTTTTGAAAAGCCAGATACTGAGCTAAGGAGTAAATTTCTTCAAGAAAGGTTAACAATCAAGTATCATTTTGGTAACAATATGTGTACATATTAGTACAGTGATTATTATTTTTTTAATTATTTTATATTTATGCCATGCACATTTCCATTGAACTGTTTTATTCTGTTCATTCTTTATTTCCACTGATACAGTAGTTGCCAAATTATATTTGTTGAACTTTGATTGAGCAAAGGTATGATGACCCTTTGAGTCCAGGAACCATATATGTCCTAATTAATTGACTTATTTGTGTGTCTTTATTTTTGCCTGAAAATCAGCTGGTCATGAAATCATGTTGTGTTGTTTAAGTGAAATCATTCTATGATTTGAAATATCCAACGCAAGTTTGGTCTACTGTACTCAGCAGCACCGGAGAATGTTGCAAGTTCATTTTTCTATTAATATGCTACAGGCCTGAATAGCAAATTTCTTTTCCTTGTTTCCTGTCTTGCAGTACAAGGTCTTACTACCATAATTGTAAAGGTAAGAACAGTTTATGGACGCATAAGTACAAGCCAAGAAAAACCTCCGAGGTCAGACATTTCTTCTGGTTCATATTGTATTTTTTTTTTTTTTTTTTTACATAATAACACATATTTATAATGCACATGTTGTTTCATGTTTGTATTTCCTGAATAAGTTGCATGCCTTGGTCATAGGTGTGTGGTAAGGAGCAGGTTCTGAATTTCTTGCGTGACTGGTTGCATCGATGGCATGAAAGATCTTCTCAATGTAGAAAAGGTTCCTCTGACAAGGGTAAAAGTATCAAACATCATGATGATTATGCTTCAAAAGATATTCATGTGGGTTTAGAGAGTGTTCTTTTGATCACAGGACCAATTGGGGTGAGTGAAAATATATATTGTCAAAATTGTGCTTTACACCCAATTTGTACATGATCTTTGACATTGTTGAATAAATAATTTCATTCTTGGCTAACAGGAGGCTAAAGGACCAAATCATAAAGAAATTTCACTGTAAATCGTTGAATATATAATTTAATTCCTGAATATATATTGAAATGATAAAAAGATTGAGACGACATTAAAATAATACCACAACAAAATCCTTCTATAAAAATCTAACAAATTCTCATGCAACTTAAGCTCAATAACGTTGAAATAATAGAATTATATAAATGTACAAATATTACTGATACTAAAATTATCTATGAAAGAATTTTTTTAATTATTTAATAAAAAAATTCACTGATAATTAATTTAATAGACCATTCTTTTACTTTTATATTATTTAGTATTAAAAATTTATTTGTTTATTTTTTATTCCATTTTAATAATAATCGGTATGCGATTAAGCTTTTATTATTTTTATAACAAAAATATTAAATGATATTTTTATTTTTAATTTAAAATTATAATTTATTTATTATTTATTCTTATTTTTAATTGAATTTCTATTGATAGTATTAAGTAATGATAGTCTGCTGAATTTTGATTCAGTGAATATATATTTGATCCAAACTTTCTCATTGTTCCTTCCACAATTTTCTTGGCCTGGGTAAGCATAACAAATAGTTGACCTCTCAACGTAATTGTTATCAAGAAAAGTTATGTAATTTTTTTATTCTGGTGATCATGGTAGTTTTAAGAAATGGTTCTTTCTTATTCTTGATATATTTTGATGAAAGGTACATGAATAAAATCAATGTCCCATTTGTGCCAAAAAATAATGACCGCAATTGAATTCATGGTTGTAGATAATTACCATCATTTATATTGTCTTGGTTAAAATGTTTTAAGTTAACACTTCTTCTCACTACTTCTTACTGGATTCTAAAGGTTTTAAGTGGATATAGTTTTTTCTAATGTTGCAGAGTGGCAAGTCTGCAGCTGTCTATGCTTGTGCCCAAGAGCAAGGGTTTAAGGTTTTAGAGGTATATCACTATTTCAAAGTATATTTTTGAATATTTATGCCTTTAATTTGTAATTGGCTTGAGTCGTTTTTATTTATATATTATAATTTGCTTATTTTGAGTTTATGTGAGGATTTCAACCTCTCTATTGTATACTTAACGTGTTATATTTTTGTAAACTTCAGCAAAACTTATCGTGTTATATATATGCTTTAACTTGAGAAAATATGATGGATATAATTTGATTAAATTGGATGTAAATAAGGATATAAGATATATTTATTACATTATGTATTTTGTACATATTATTATTATAAATAGATTGGTGTGTGTCTATATTCTTCAAGAAGTATTTAAGAAACAGACGTGGGATGTACCCTCTCACTCCTATGAGAAGCTTTTTGTAATATCTGCTAGTTGTTAAAACTTGTCCTTTCTTTGTTTTTGTAAATATGTGTTTATGAATCTGGACAAAAGATCAAAGTTTGTCTCTCATGTCTTAACAGTTCAATGCATCAAGTTGTCGAAACGGGATTACTGTGGAGAATAAGTTAGGAGAATCTGATCCGGGAAAAATCACAAGGTTTTTTTATCTGTCCTGACAATGCTTGCTAAGAACTGTTGTGACTGTAACATCTGTTGTGTTATTTATCTGGCCATACTTTATCTTATACATTTGATTTCACTTTCCTTCAATATTTTGTTGACCTATTTGAGTGTTACTTTTGTCTGAGGAAGCGTTGTTTATTTCACAGTTAATCAGGACATCACTTAAATTTACACGGAATATAGATGCCCTTGATGGAATGCCATAGACTAGGCAAAACTATATTCTGGATATATAAAAGCATTGTGCTAGTATTCCAAATCAAGTAATTCTATGCCATTTTTATATTGTTAGTTCCTGCAAACCTATAAGGTTGCTTCTAGCCAAGGAGAATGATGAGGAGATTACTTTCAGTTCTGATGAAGCCCACCAAACTTTAGCTCTATTTGAGGATGTGGACATCCTTTTTCCTGAAGATCGTGGATGTATCGCTACCATACAACAGTTTGCTAGGAGAGGAAAATGGCCTATTATATTAACCAGCAATAGTGAGATGACTTGTTAAATAATGCATCTTTGCTCAATCTATAACTTTTATCGATGTGTTCATAATTATGAAGATGTCATTTTTTCAAATTAGGACATAATGGTGGCCTACGAGGTAGTTTTGCAAGACAACATGTTTCTTTCTCATTGCCATCGCAAGATGAGTTACTTTGCCATATGTACAAGGTATGTGCTTTAGGATTTCCAAATTCCAACCCTCAAAAAGATTGGAAAACTGAAAGTGAAATTATACATCTTCTGTGGATGACCTGCAGGTTTGCATCACAGAAGAAGTCGACGTTAATCCTCTTCTACTGAAAAAATTCATCCAGTCTTGTGGTGGAGATATTCGTAAAACCATCATGCAACTTCAGTTCTGGTTCCAGAGTAAACAGTATAGCAAAGGTGTATTACACAGCCCTTTTGTTGCATGTCTGCATGCTTTTGACTTGTAAGAAAACCATAGTTTGTCCAAATTTGGCCTATGTGTGCTTTGGTTGCTCTTTTATTAAGACTTACTTTTTTTTCATTTATGTTATGTAGAAAGTACACAGCAAAGAATCCATGTTATTATGTTATTTATTGATATATTTTGGGGAATGAGTTAAAAGGATATGAAGTTAGATCATCTTAAGAAAAGATGCTTCTTTCAAGAGATATAGGGATGAGCTGTTTTCAAATTGAATAATCAGACTAGAGGCAAACCAACATCAGTTGCTCTGATACTATTTATTTATTCATTCTCAAAATATATTCCTGTTCATATATAGAAATTTCTTCCTTGATAATGCCATGAAGGTTATTTTTCTATTAGCATCAAGAGGTGCCCTTACCAATTTTCTTGTAGTGCATATACACACTATTGTGTCAGATTTTCTACACTATTTATAAGTCTGCATGGAGAGTGAGCATTGAAGGTCTCATAGACTCAAATCCTAGAAAGTGCTCTCCATTGAGCACAAATTGATCAATTGGCAAGAAAGAGGGTGTCCTAACTTGACCAGTTGTCAATTCAAGTCTTCGGAATGCAACTGTGCAAAACTTGTTGGAAAAGTGCCTTAGATGTTATTAACGCAGTTTTAATTTAGTTTGAATAAGCCAATTGGTAAATTGATAAGAATCTATTATTACGTTTTTAGTGGATAAAACAGTTTTTGTTTTTAAGGTAGTTTCTTATTTTGTTTTTGTAACAACTCCTAATATCAAGGAGCAATGTCTCGACTCATATTTAGACTGTTACCAGTGCATAGACTAAGGTTCCCTTAGTCTGGCAAGCCTTCAAGTAAAATATAAAAACCAAAAAAATAAAGAAACAGGAGGGATTCCAAAAACATGGAAAGTCTCCTTTGAAAAATAGGACAATCCATATATGAGTCACCTATGAAACCATGCAACTATATATATGAGTCACAATTGCTCTTTCAACTCCTTAAACTTATGAAACCTATGACACATCATCATCATCTATTACTTACGCATGACAACCTTTCCTTGACAACCTTCAAGTTTTTACTCCTGAAATCAAATGACTTGATGACCAACATGGATCACCTTGAAATACAAGAACTAGTTCTCTTGGCATGACAAACTTCAATACCTTATTGTGGCAATCTAGCATGACAAGAAGTCAACCATTCCATATCCAAAATCACACGAAAATCTACCATATTCAACTCTATAATGTCTACCATCAATAATAATTTATCATGGGTTCATCCAGAGGTGATGACTCCCAATATAGAAGATGCAAAGAAGAGGGAGACAAAGGAAATTAAAACATGTACACCTTAAGAACATATGGAAAGTATACCTGTCATCACATGCTGTGATAATGGTGACTAATCAAAGAGAATACTGTTAGGAAATACTTGTATTTCCTAACATATACAGGAGCTTGTCCTCCTTTAGTATGTAATTCCTTTGCAACTCCATTAGAAGAAGGTTGAAAAGATGACATGGGAGAACTCCTCGCAAAATGCTTAACTTGACCACAGCTATAACAACATATATGTGACTTTACACGTGTAGTATTAGTAACAGAGGCCCAACCAGACGGCATATCATATAATATCGTCAAACACCTTGTCTATGGGTGTGTTGAATGTTTGGCTACATTGAGTGCCCTATGATTATCGACCCATATACATTGACCTTGGTCCATCTAACTACTGTCGTCCCTAGAGCCTCCACCACCATGGCCCTGATAGCCAGCACAAGATGTCTCTGAGTGGGACCTCATGCCTGAGTCACGATGTCTCTTCAAACCTTCCAAAAACTTCTGAACTCACTAGTTCTCAGTAGTCACCAAGTGTGGTGCATATCTAGACATGGCATGAACTGGATATTATACTGCATATATAGCTGACTCCTGATCTGATTGCACTAGAGCCTCAAACTCTCTAGCTCAACTGTTTTTAACACTTTTTAGGCAAGAAATATACCAAATGATCTCATACCACTCCCTCCCCATCCCAAAAACAGCACCATCCTATGCTGTACAAGTGGATGCTCATGTCGCAACCCATCCTGACTAGTCTCAGTGACTCGCTAGGGTTGTCCTGCCTGTTGTTGTCTTTGTTTCCCAACCACTTCACCTAAGTGTTAGACCACCTGTAACTTTAGAAATCTCTAACTTTGGCATTCCACCATGGTCCTCGAGTCTTGTAAGGTTGCTTTGTTTTCTAAAAATTTTGTAGTGAAAAAAAAATCTGTTCCCTATTTTCATAATAATTTTTTTTACTTCATTTTGGTGAATTTTATTTTTTTCTATGATACTTCTAGAAACTAACAACTCTTATATATATATATATATTTTTTTTATTATTATTATTATTTTGGTGTGCATGTCCGTACATAGGTAGACTAATAATGCAACTTTCCAGAAACTAACTTTTTCAGTTTTTTACTGTCCAGACAGGAAAGTGCCCAAAAGGTATGGTTTGCTTCCGTTTGATCTCAATGCTTGTCATCATATTTTACCAAAGATACTACCTTCAGAGTTGTTCGAACTAATTGAAAAGGAAGATGCTAAGTCAATAGCCACAATGAAAGAAAAGTGGTGCTTAATAAATGAAAGAAAAATTGATTTAGATGTGAAGGGTATGAGTACTGATTATTTAGTGGCCAAGACAAAGACAATCAAGAGATCTCTTGCAGACTGCAATAGGTTTGAAAGTCAAAATAGTGCTATTTCTGAACATTCAAATTGTTCTAGATCCCCCTTAACACCCTCTTCGCAAAAAGGTCAAAGTAAACCTGTAGTGATGTGCTCTGGTTCTGAGAAGAAGCTAAATAAAAGACAGCTTTCAGAATTTCAAGCAGAAATCCGCAAGATTCCTTCCATCAAAGGCAGATTTGAATATCTCTGTGAGGTTCAACTCAATCAGACCTACACAAGTACATCATTTTCCAAACCTGTTTGTTCTGTTTTGGAAGATTCAAAGGAGGATCAGTATAAATCTGTAGAAACTGCTAATGATGCAAGCTTGAATGAAAAACATGAGTCATTTGATGCATCCTGCTCTCAAGGATCAACATCAGGTCCTGAGACAGCAATTCAAAAGGGAAAAAAGCCAATGTCTGGACCAGTGTCTTCTGGCTGTTATGCTGGTCCAGTAGAAGAATCTCTTAATAATGAGCCTACAGCGATCACTTTCGGTGTTTTCCAGTCCTTGGACAAATTGTCACAAAATTCTGATTCATTGGCAAATACTGAAATTCCAGAATGTTCTTCAAGAAAAGCAGCTATGCTAAATTTTAGAGATGGAAACATGGAAACAAAAACTGTGTGTAATTTGATAGACGAATGTAGTCATGCCAATCTAGAACAAGGGAATGTTATTCAAGTTCTTGAACTTACCAGTGGGCTAACTGATCTAATTTCTGAAGTTGACATACTGTTTCTCAATCACCAACAAAAACAATGTGTAAGTGTGTTAAAAAAAATGATTTTATTCATTTATATTGTACCAGCACCTTAATTATTGTAACATTTGATGTGCAGGGTATTATGGAGCCTCCAGTAGCCTTTTCTGATGAAGAAACATATAGCTGGTATGATGAGCAAATGATGATGTCTTCTGTTGCAGAACATGGTTTCTGTTGTTATGCCAAACATGTATCAGACGTAGTATCCAAAATGGGTTGTAAGAATGAGATAGATCTAACTTCAGAGATGTTGGCTAGCAGTAATAATGTTATGGCACTGGGAAAATTGTCTGGACAGGACCAAACGAAAAGCACTAGTATCTATGACAGTAAGCAATTTGAGGTGAACGACCTGACAAATGATACCAAGAGGTATTATTTGACTTTAATTTTACAGTGATGACACACACCACTGTTTTTTATCAAACATGCCAACTGTGAAGAAAGAAGTCCCACATCCGTGGGAACTTCAATTGGGGGCTCTCCTCCTTCCTATAAAAGGAGCCCCTCCCCCCTTATTTCAAACATCCCAAATATTTCTCCTTCTTTCTCTTTTACTTTCCTAGTATTGGTAATTTCCAATTGTAAAAGGAAAGAGTGGTCATTATAAAATTTTCATTTTTGCCTATTGTCAGGGTTATTTTCTCGTCTCTATTTTACTTGTGTGTATTTGTGCTGGTACTCTGATCCTAACAGTGGTATCAGAGCTGCGTTCGAGTCCCGTTGCGCTAGTCACTAGAATAGTGTTGGTAAAATTCTGAGTATGCTCTGTGGTTGCAGTTTAATCTGATCTTCCACATCAGAAAGGAGTTGTTACTGGAAAAGGTGTGGTAGTGTGAAAGTACTATTGAGGAAAGTTCGGCTAGGAAAGACTTGGTACTTAAGCGTGTCCATTAGTGACCCACCTCTCTTTCACGGGAACCTACTTGGTGTCTTGGTTCACGGTCTACTACTATTGTTCCGATAGACAATACTATTCATAAGTGAAAGTTGCATAAGTGAAAACACAACCATGGCGAGCAAAGTACGAGATAGAGAAGTTCAACGGGAACAATTTCTCGTTGTGGAAATTGAAGATGAAGGCAATCTTGAGAAAGGACAATTGCGCGAAGCAATTGAGGGAAAACCTGCGAAATGGCGGATAAAGATTGGAAGAAAATTGGCAAGCAACGCTATTGCAAATTTACACTTGGCAATGGCGAGACTCGGTTCTATCCGAGTGTTGCGGAGAAAGATTACGCAAAGGAGATTTGGGATGCCCTCATTAAATTATATGAGGTGAAGTCACTTCACACAAGGATATTCTCGAAGAGGAAACTCTATACTCTTCGGATGAGTGAGTCCACATCGGTGACGGACCACATCAACCAACTGAACACCTTGTTTGCCCAATTAGCAGCAGCAAATTTCAACATAATTGAGAATGAGCGTGCGAGCTTTTACTTCGAGCTTGCCGGACTCGTATGATCAACTCATCATCAACATTACAAATAATAATATTGAAGGACAACTACACTTTGACGATGTTGCGGAGCTATTCTAGAAGAAGAATCCAGGCGAATGAATAAGGTAGAAAGTTCTAAACAAGCGAAGTTTTGACGATGATGAGAGGAAGATCAACGGAACGTGGCTCAAGTGGGAGTCAAGATCATGGCGAGATCGAGCTCTCGAAACAAGAAGACTTTCAAATTTAAATGCTACTACTTGTGGCAAGAAAGGGCACACGAAGAAAGAGTGTTGGAAGAGGAAGAATGAAGAATCAACCTCACGGGGTTGCGTTGCGAGTACTTCGAAGAAGGAGTAATTGCAGTAGCGAAGCGACAATCGGCTCTAATGGCGAAACGAATTTCATGACAAGTGGATAATGGATTCGGGTGCAACTTGGCACATGACCCCACACCGAGATTGGTTTCAAACCTACAAGCCTATCTCGGGTGGATCCGTGTTCATGGGAAATGACCATGCATTGGAGATTCTTGGAGTTGAGTACTTGTCAAATTAAAAATGTATGACGGTACTATTCGCACAATCCAAGAAGTACGACATGTGAAGGACTTGAAGAAAAATATATTGTCTATAGGGCAATTGGATGACCTCGTATCGCAAGATCCATGTTGAAGGAGGAATCTTAAAGGCGGTGAGGGGAAACATAGTTGTCATGAAAGCGAGAGAAAATCATGGCAAACTTGTATGTACTTATGGGAGACACCTTGCAAGAAAATCATGCAACAAGCTGCGTCGACAAGCCAAGAAGAAGCGGCGATAACATGGCACAGTAGACTTGGACATATGTCGGAGCGAGGTCTGCAGATTCTTGCGGAACGTGATCTCATACACTGGGCTCAAGAAGGTCGATTTACCCTTACGTGAGCATTGTGTGACAAGCAAACAACACGGGTTGAAGTTTGCAAGAACCACCACAAGGAGTAAGCAAACTTTGGACTTGATCCATTCGATGTCCGGGAATCACCGGAATTATCTCTCGGAGGAGCAAAATATTTTGTGTCGTTCATCGATGACTACTCGAGGAGATTATGGGTATACCCTATCAAGAAGAAGTCCGAAGTATTTGCGCGGTTCAAAGACTTCAAAGCACAAGTAGAACTTGAGGCCGGAAGGAAAATCAAGTGTTTGAGGACAGACAATGGAGGAGAATATGTAGATGGAGATTTTCTAGCATTACGCAAGCAAGAAGGAATTGTGAGACAATTTTACGTTCCACACACGCCTCGACGAGAATGGTGTAGCAGAGCGGATGAATAGAACTCTTCTAGAGAGAACCAGAGCTATGTTGCAAGCTGCGGGCATAACAAAGTCTTTACGGGCGGAAGCGTGAATACTTGCTGTTACTTGATAAATCGGTCTCCATCAACGACGAATTGGGTTGAAAACTCCTATGGAAATGTGGAGTGGAAAATCAACCGATTATTCTTCCTTACATGTGTTCGGTTGTCCCGCGTACGTGATGTACAACACCCAAGAAAGGACGAAGTTGGATCCAAAATCCGGGAAATGCATCTTCTTGGGATATGCTGACAATGTGAAGGGGTATCGCTTGTGGGATCCCACTGCCCACAAAGTTATTGTTAGCGAGAGATGTCGTCTTTGCGAGAAAATGAAGCGCAAAGCAAGCGGATAAATGACGACTCGGAAAAGGACAAGACTATAGTACGAGATAGAGAAGAAGACTTGGAACATTCCTCCGAGTCGGAGGAGGAGCATGAAGAACATGAGCCAAATGAGGTGGAAGAAGGAGAACTCAGACGATCAACAAGAGAAAGAGTCGAGACCATCTTGGCATTCACAATATGTGATGGCAAGTCATGATGCGTATTGTCTCCTAAGTGAAGAAGGAGAACCTTCGACTTTTCAAGAGGCCGTGAGTGGTTCGAAGCTCCTCATGGATGGCTGCTATGGAAGAAGAAATTGAAGCTCTTCATAAAAACAAGACATGGCATCTTGTGGAACTTCCAAAAGGTCGCAGAGCCATTGGTTGCAAATGGGTCTATAAGATCAAGAGAGATGTCAATGATCAAGTAGAAAGATATCGTGCTAGGCTGGTGGTAAAAGGATATGCTCGGAAAGAAGGCATTGATTTCAACGAGATATTCTCACCGGTTGTTAGATTGACAACAATCGGAATTTTCCTGGCGATGTGTGCTGCATTTGATTTACATCTTGAACAATTGGATGTAAAAGCTGCTTTTCTTCATGGAGAACTTGAAGAGGAAATATATATGCTCCAACCGGAAGGCTTCAAAGAGCAAGAAAACTTGGTTTGCGAGTTGAACAAATCTCTATACTGGTCTAAAGCGAGCGCCAAGGTGTTGGTATAAGAGATTTGATTCCTTCATTATTAGCCTCGGATACTACGGACTAAGTTCGGACCATTGTACTTACCACAATAGGTTTGAAGAAAATGATTTCATCATATTGTTGTTGTATGTGGATGACATGTTGGTGGTAGGCCCTAACAAAGCTCGAATCCAAGAATTGAAGGCACAATTGGCTAGGGAGTTTGATATGAAGGACTTGGGACCAGCAAACAAGATTTTAGGGATGCAAATTCACCGAGACAGAAAAGATAGGAAGATTTGGCTTTCTCAAAAGAATTATTTACTTAAGATCTTGCGGCGCTTCAACATGCAAGATTGCAAGCCAATTTCTACCCCACTTCCGTCAACTGTAAGTTATCTTCAAGTATGAGTCCTAGCGGTGAAGCGGAGAGGATTGAAATGTCTCGAGTACGCGTATGCATCAGCGAGTGGGAAGTCTTATGTATGCCATGATTTGTACAAGACCGGACATTGCACAAGCGAGTGGGAGTGGTTAGTAGATTCATGGGGAATCCCGGTGGAGAACATTGGCAAAATGTGAAGAGGGTCCTTAGGTATATAAAATGAACCTCAAATGTTGCATTATGTTATGGAGGATCGAAGCGGTTGTCGGAGGCTATGTAGATTCGGATTTTGCAGGTGATCTGGATAAAAGGAAGTCTACTATTGGTTATGTGTTTACCATCAATGGAGGGGCGGTAAGTTGGTTATCCAAGTTACAAGATGTGGTAGCTCTGTCTACTACTGAAGTCGAATACATGGTCGTCACCCAAGCATGTAAAGAAGCTATCCGGATTAAAAGAATAATGGGGGAACTTGGTCACAAGCAACAACAAATTGTTGTGTACTTGTGATAGTCAAAGTGCCTTACACATTGCAAGGAATCCAGCCTTTCATTCGAGGACAAAACACATAGGAATAAGATATCATTTTGTTCGAGAAGTAGTAGAAGAAGGAAGTGTAGATTCTGAGAAGATCCACACCGAGAAGAACCTAGCGAGATGTAATGACAAAGCCGGTTAATGTCGACAAGTTTATATGGAGTCGATCCCTCTATGGCCTATCGGAAGCATAAGCAACATGGATGTGAGAGAAGAAGACATAGTGTGAAGATTTGATTAATTTCATCAAAATCTTCAAGTGGGAGATTGTGAAGAAAGAAGTCCCACATCCGTGGGAACTTCAATTGGGGGCTCTCCTCCTTCCTATAAAAGGAGCCCCTCCCCCCTTATTTCAAACATCCCAAATATTTCTCCTTCTTTCTCTTTTACTTTCCTAGTATTGGTAATTTCCAATTGTAAAAGGAAAGAGTGGTCATTATAAAATTTTCATTTTTGCCTATTGTCAGGGTTATTTTCTCGTCTCTATTTTACTTGTGTGTATTTGTGCTGGTACTCCGATCCTAACACCAACAACACCCACACATATGTCTTTCTTTATGACTTTGTGTTGGATAAATGTTGAGATTATACTAGGTGTTCATTAATTTCATTCCATAATTTTTAATTGTTAATTCGCACCACTCTGGCACTTCATTATCTTAGAAATTCTTTCAGTATGTGCTAATGTTTCCCTTTGGCAATATGATGAAAACAGAACATCTTTCTCCAACGTGATCAAGTCAATCACTCCACCAAGATTATCCATGGCAATGAAAGATATGGCGTTCACTGAATACATATCTTCACTACGCCAAATCTCAATTTCGGAAGATATCCGCATTTCACATGGTTCTGAAAACATGAGGAAACGAAGGTACATGCTTTGAAGCAAATTCAGTTTTCAGTCTTTGGATTAATTGGAAAAGTTAACCAAGAATTCTCAATACTTGATTGATCACATAATGTTTAAATGCAGGCGGGTTGCTCAACATTATTTGACCAGAGGCAAAATGAAGTTGACTCCTGAAGATATATCACTCTTGTGCAAAGGCGATTCGTACAGAAAGATTTAGTCACAATACATTGCTGACATGGAAGGCACCTGTGCATGATCCAACTTAAGACCGAGGATTTAATTTAATAGTGAGACCAATGTTTCTGTAAAAATAAAATCGCTGCTGATTGGTACAGGACAAGACCAACATGGTTTATTTTTGCATTAGTATGATCGTGGGTTGAGACTGTAAAATAAACTATATCAGCGATAGGATTACCACCTAAGACCGATTAATTGCAGGCATTTTATTGTTACTGAATAATCTTCTTTTTAACTTGTGACTTGTTGCATCAAATTTAGCAATCTAACCGCTTGTTGCTTCATCCATGTGATAGATTTTTTTGGTTAAGCCTGTGTGGAAGGTTATATAGGAAGTTTTTGTCTATATCTCTGCTGATAAATATTGATTAAATACTTATTTCAGACATGAACAAAATTTTGGTTCAACCTAGTAACATACCTTTAACAGTAAAGAAGCCATTCATTGTGTTCATCAGAGGTAGTGTTGAAAATCTACATCTACTTCTGTTAATTTATCTACTGTTTGTCACTTGCATTAAATCACTGCCATGTACTTGTTTCGGTCAAAATCCAACATCCATGTGTCATAAAATCATTCGTATTAAAACAAGAAAACAGGTGAAATAGTCGTCTATAATTAACTTATGCAGAAATGGTGAAACCTTTAACACTCTTGCTCCATATTTTGGCACCAGACACCAACATCTTACCGAACACATTTCATTGTCAATCCCTGCTAAGGAGTAGTTGGGTAATTTACTTTTCCCTCACTTTCTATCTTGATGGTATTATTTGTAGGAGTACTCTGAAAAACGTTATCAAGGGGTTCATGGACCTCACCCATTGATTAATTTGATTTTATCCCAAAAGGGTGGTTAATTCAAGTAATTATCTCGTCTTAATAGTGGTTTTAAGATGATCAAGTTTTGTTTTTTAGGTTGATTGATACCGGGAGTAATTTAAAGCCCTAGACCGATAACTTCTGAAATTTCTTTCAAGGCACTACAGATAATAGTGTTAAGCTTATGATTCACCAAAAGATTTCACAATTTAAATATCTTAATTTTTCATCATTATCACCGCCAATGTTTATTACATAAATAAAAAACACAATATCCCATTACTAAGTGACACACATATATAACAGAAATTTATTAAAATTACTTGAGTACTTGAATTCATATAATTTAAATTTTGTCTAAAAATAAAAACTTAAAATTCCTTCAACATAAATCATATATACAAAATTTAATATTAATTTAAAATTATTCGAAATGTAATAAAATATGAATCATTTTGTCATTCCTTCTTATCATTGATCAACTTTTTGAAAAAACAATGAAACGAATATTGGTGATAATTTATATATTTTAAATATTAGATCAGTAAACATCACTTTCATTTAGTATTATTGATGATGTTGTAAAAATTCAGAAAATTTTTGTTGTATATATGATAGAAATTAAATTGATAATTTGAGGTTTAAAAAATTGAATTAATTTATTTTAACAAAATACTTTGATAGTTTTGAGAATCAAAATAGAAGCAATTCAAATTTCAAGCATTTTAAATTCTATAAATTTTAAAATTCTTCGTCTAACATAAACATAAGGTAAAATTGATATAAAAATTATCTAGCTAAACTATTCTTACAAATTCACATTATTATTACTCATCTTGCTAAGATTAGTTCTAAATAAAGTACATAGAAAATAGATATGAGTTATTCATGCATCTAGTGGGGGTAGGTTTATATAATAATAATGAAATGCACAATGAGTTAATACATTGCATACATTTTTATCAAACAGCCCAAATAAAAAGCAAAGCATTTGAATTTTATGAAATGAATTTCGAAGTATGTTCTTAGCAGTATCGAATACAAGGTTTTGTTTGGCTAGTGATAATTTTTAATGGAGTATTAATCTCGGATATAACTCAAAACATTGACTAAGAAATTTACTTCAAACTATAAAATTAAATTTTCTCAAGGAACATTTGTTATAAATATCATCTTCTCATCTTTCCAACCAACATGTCATTATTAGCTCATAAAAGAAAATTTTGGATTTAGAATTGAACTGCATATAGAGGCAGTGTTCATAATTGGATTGTACCCTGGATAGGACCATTGCAATTAAGGAAATTAAAAGCAGTGTACTGCATGCACATCCATATCTGAGATCGTACGTGTACGTGTACGTTATTTCAAAACAATTATACTTGCTTATATTATTATAGTCATGTATAATACCATTTGGTTGTTCACTGCACTTAAATTCAAGCAATAAACTAGAAATAGTTATCATGAATTAGCCAGTAATTAATTCAATTGGTCTAAGCATTAACTATACAGCACAGAAATACTGAGAATGGGTGAAAAGGAAAAGAGAGGAAGGTTGAAATTGAATGGTTGTTTCCTTGTGAGTGTTAGTTATTAGAGTGCACATAGCAGAGTTGGTTGTGATTGCAATTACCACAATCACATTGTGACTTCTCTCTGCACCAAAAACAAAACAAGACCCACTTCACAGGGCCCCAAGCTTCATTTCTGACACCCCTTCGTGCCATGATTTCTATACGTAACATCGATGTAATAAAGTGCTCTCTTTCACTATTTTAATTATATCAAATTGTTGCCACTGTTATTAATATTATACGACAGGGTCCTTTGCTCTTTGCCCAACCATTTACAACCAGTAAATAAACCAGCGATGAAATGAAACCAAACATGGTTAGGAAGACAAATTTTGAAGCCCTTTGTCACGTTAAAATGAAACCGAACATAGTACGTATCTTTCCATATACGAAACCAGTAACAGCTATATATGTTCAGAGTAATCAAACTATCATCTATCACTTTGCTTATGGCTCAAAACAGTGTAATAAATTAATGATTTCTTTCATCTTTTAATTGTACAAATTCATCATACATGACAACCTATACAAAATTCATCCCCAAAAACCATTAACAAGTGACAGTGAAAGCAGTATCTGTCTTTAATGCTTGTGGAGTCATGTATGTGTTAATCTAATAATTTATGAAACTCTTGATAGATTAGATGTTGATTAATTTATTAATTAGTGGCCCCATATGCCTGTTAGCTCGGATTTCTAAGGCAATAATTATTTGTTTGGAAATGAGGATGCCTCACTGAAACTTCCTGCTAAAAAATAAACACATATTATTCATCTTCTAACAAAAGCTATGGATGGATCAGTGCTGGTTTCAATATCGCAAGTATTAACGAAAACAAATATTTAATCATTACCCTGTTATCTTATTTTAATAAGTTCAAATTTAATTTTTATATTAGTTTTAATTTATATATATATATATATAAATATTTTATATACAAAATGTTTTTCTTAATTTCACCACTGTACTTTTATACATGTCATGTTTTTCTAGTTATTTTTTTGTTCTATTTTTGTTTTTTTAATTTTTTTTCAAATTAATGGTTAAAGTAATTTTTATGTAACTTTAGTGAGTTTTATTTACAAAAATATATTGATTAAAAAATTTATAAGTAAAGAGTTAAGTTAAATAATTTTTATATAAATAATCATCTTGTAGATTTTTTTAAGTCATCTTTAAAATTGGAGTGTTGAAATATTTATATTTAAAAGTGACAAGAAGGAAATAAGGAGATAAAAAAACAAACATATTCGATTATGTTAAGATGTATTTTAAAAAATATTATTAAAAAATATTTGTAACAAGAATGCATCTATTTTAAGATGTTTTTATGAAAATATAATTACTAGGTTGATTTGGTGTTATAAGATGTCATGTTTTGTTTTGGTATGAAATGTGAGTTTTTAGTATATATTATACTTGTTAAAAAATAATGTGTAACTAAAAAAATCTTGTAATTTGATAATAGAATGAGCTATTGATCGTTTTAGTGAAAATCTAAATTTAACTAAATGATGGTAGTTTTTTTAAGCAAAAAATTGTCACTTAAGTAAGAAGTTATTTGGTAACATTAAATTTAAGCAAAAGATTTTCTCTCAAACAAGATGCTTACAATAAGAGAGAAATTATACGACTTATATTTTGCTTTGTGATAAGTAGTCACTTAAAAAAATTTCAAATAAAGAAACAATGAATTAATTTTATATGTTAGTCATTCAATTGATAAAGGGGTTCCTTAAGCGAAAAAATAAATTGAATGAATATATTGAACTACGTCAAGTTATATGTTTCTTAATCAATTCATATATATATTTATTTAAGGTCAAAAGTGTAATTCATAAATTATTGAGATTATAAAATCAATAAAAGCACTATTAATTACTTGTTATAAGATTATAAATGATGTAGATAAAAATTAGTGAAATTGTTATTCATTTTATTATGTCAAATATATAATTATTATTATTATTTAAATATTATAATTTATCTTATTTTTTGGTTTATTACGGATATTGTAAAAAATTATATCCGAACAAAGAAAAAAATTATAGATAAATTAACTAATTTGATATGATTTTTATTAACATCAATTATATTAAATACTTGTGTAAATTACCTACATATATTTTTGTTATAATAGTAATCTTTAACTTCATTACATTTTGTATTATGAGTAAAACATAATATTATTAATGATAAAAATATAATATAAAATAATAAGATGAAGACAATACCTATAGGGAACGAGATGGTTAATGGACCACGTAAACTCAAGCAACCTGTTTTATAAATTTTTCAATCTTTGTCTTAAATTCTAGAAATTTCTCATAATGGAAGGGGGAAGGAGTAAACTATTTAATACTATCAGAAAACATTATGCATCAAACTTATTCTTTCATTGATGTGACAATGCAAGATAGCTCTGCAAGCAAAAGTTGTTGTTAGACTGATTCGTTAGCCCGTAATGGCTCTCGCAACCACATTCTCTGCAAATCTTCCAATATACTGATGATATTTTTACAATCCAAACACTTAACAACTTCAAATAATACTATAATAATAAATAATATTATTATAATAAGACGCAGGATGAATGTTTTTACTGCTTGCCATTGTCAAAAGATAATTCTCCTACACATATTAGTGCATTTGATTTTCTTATTTTTTTTACTTCTTCAAATATGGACCACTTCACATCTGCATCATGTGGCATGAGGAAACCCACAGTTTGTGGGTAAATTAGTTTTATATTATCATGGTAAGAGAAATCCTTATGAGTCAGTCAGTCTATTATGACAGAAGATGTTAAACTAATTTGCTAAAATACAAAAGAATCTGAATTAGAGAATAGGTGAGAAATGATGGTTCAGAAATCCTATCTTTCATCATCAATGAGACTATAACATCATGGTAGAGTAAAGGCATAACTAGCTGTTCATCCCCGTGACACTTCTTTCTGCACAAAAGTTAACAACCCCCTTCCTTACCCCTCTCAACCCCTTTTTATTTTGTGTCTCTTCTACAATAACCTGCCAAACTAAACCTCTGATACACTCAATCACCCTCCCCCTCTCTTGTCCATCACTTCTCACCAACAAAATTGATGCACTTTTACAAATTTGTTTGATATATAAGCCAGAAGGGGTGTCAAAGACACAATGGAAGGTTCAGGGTCATTGTTGAAGCAATTTAGTGTGAAGGAGGCTTGGAAATCAACATCAAGTAGGTGGGGTGGGAAGGACAAGGGGTGTGAGGCTAGTCTGAGCCAAATGGAAGGTTTTGCCATGTATGGGAATGAGGATAATGGGATGGTGGGGAAAAAGAGAGTGATGGTGGTGGTGGATCACACTTCACATTCCAAGCATGCAATGATGTGGGCACTCACTCATGTAGCTAATAAGGGCGATTTGCTCACTTTGCTTCTTGTTGTCCCTCCTCATAGGGGTTCTGAATCTTCTTGCTCTACCTATCTAGTTAATCATCTTGGTTCCCTTTGCAAAGATTGCAAGCCAGAGGTAAATTGTTGAATCTTATATAGTCATACTAATTAACATGTTACTCTTGAGTCTTGAAGTTCGTTTATGGTTCAGGTGAGAAAGCATAGATTTTGTCACTATCTCCTTTCTCTCCATTTTTCTTTCCTTGGATTAATTGACGTGAGGGATGCATATTGCCACATTGTATTTGGTAGATCTTGAATTTTTCATTCAAGTTGGTCTCAAATGTTCAGTGCTGTTCAAAGAGAGGGAGCTATGAAGTTCCGCTCTTTTACCCTTTTACATTATTTAAAACAAAATCATGCATATTTCTTTTGCCCATAATGTTTTTAAACCTTTTCTCTTCTTTAAAGGACAATGGGTCTGAGATTCCTGTACTAGGCCAGTTCTTTATTTTCACTTTCCGTAAGGAAATGATGAGAATGCTCCTTTGCTTCTTCAGCTTTTCATTGCACATTCCCCCCTCAGAAAAATAAAAAGTAAAACTTACTGACACTAACTTGATCTGACATAGGTGGAAGTAGAAGCACTTGTAATCCTAGGACCAAAACTGGCCACAGTGATGAGTCAAGTGAAGAAGCTGGAGGTTTCCATTTTGGTATTGGGCCAAAAGAAGCCCTCTCCGCTTCTTAGCTGGTAAGATTCTCATCATCCATTCTTGAATTCAGTTGTCCGACCTTCAAACTCAATTCTCAAACTTTGAAACCCTTTATTTTTAATTTGGCTCCTGTCACTTTATGCAGTAAAACGCAGAGTGATAAGCTGATAATTGAGAAATCAATGATTAAGATTTTGATAACTTTATGATCGATTTTATATGTATACTTTATTACCACAATTTTAATTGTTATTTCTACCTTAACAATTATTTCTCTATACCTTCTAAAATGCACCGACTAATCTAGAGCAGCCAGTATACTGTTGTTAAATGATTAATTTTAATATATTATAGTCTTAAGATTTTTTATGTATTTCCATCAATGAATAATCGGTTTTCAAAATCATTTTATATGTAATTTTTAAACAATAATTACTAAAAGAATTAACAGTTTTACCTTGCATTATCAATTTATCATCTGTTATTATGATCAATTATTTGAGACAGGCAATTGATAATTTACATACTGAGTATAAAATATTATTATCATGCCCTTCTACCGATAACGAATTTAGTAATTTATTTGCTGGCTATAAAATATCATTATCAAGATAACTAATTAATTAATATGCTTAGTATAAAGTATTATTATACTGCCCTGCTAATGAATATGATGTTTTAAAGTAATCAAATCTTATTTGGAGTGTATAGAACTTAAAATTATGTAATTACTTGACATTTGCCCTATAAACCGAGTCAGTATTTGAAGTTTAACTCAGTAATTCCTGCAGCCTGTGTGGAAACAAAAGTATAAGCAGCTCAGAGGAGTTTGCTGAGCACTGCATCAACAATGCAGATTGCTTGGCAATAGGAGTGAGGAAGAGAAGTCAAGGCAACAATGGCTACCTAATCAGCACAAGGTTGCAGAAGAACTTCTGGCTACTGGCATAGATCCTGAGATTCTTGACTTTAGTTGCTAGGATCTCACAAAAACTTTCAAATGGGAAAATTAACACAATAATATGTACCTTCGGTTCTAGTTCTAACTTCATTGTCATTGTACTAGTGAAATGACTCGGTGCATCAGTTTACTTCTATACTATGATTATATGATTAATTAAACATGATTGTGACCAATAACTTCTTTTAGCTTTTTTTAGTCTAGATGATTCTTCACTGTGAATGAAGATTCCGAGAATAGATGAACAAATAACATTTCTGTCAAATCACATCTATCATGGACCACCACTACCTATAGATGAGAAGGACCACAAGGCATGAGGTAGAAGAAATCATTTACATTAGCATTAAATTTCAGCACTTTTATCTTTTGGATATATAGGTGTAACACGAAACGTGTAGAAATATAGTAGCAACATATCAGTAACAAATTTCCTTCAAAATTTACCTTGGTAACAAATAACAAACACCTTGTAAGATCCTCCTAATTAAAGGATTTAATTCATTTCATAATTGAGTACTTCCACAAATTTACTAATTTATTTAGAGGTTAACAGGCTTGTTTCTTAAATAATTTATATAATTTACAAGTAGTTTGGAATTTATAATTGAATGAATGCAAGAAAAAATTTACATGTTATTTATTACAATTTATGATCTCTCATGTATGATGCTGCTCAACATATTGTCAATGAAGTTGTTGGGTTAAACTAATGAAAGATACTGGGATTATTGAGACTTACTCTTCAATATTTACATCAAAATAATTCAATGGCAGTAAATGCGTTTTTTATTTGTTTGGTGAATGGTAATAATTCAACACACTATTAGTGTGTGAACCAAATAATTTAAGTCAAAATGAAACCGTAGGATTGTTAGTTTTGTTCATTATTTCCTCCCCATTACAACTTTCATCTAATTCATTAGGAATTGCAAAAATAATCAGAAATATGTAAACTACCACTAAAATACATTATAACAATAGAATCTTAGTTAAGGAATGCAAACATATTTTTATTAAATAATTTATCTATTTCAAGTAACAAGTATTAATTAACAGTTATATTAATATATAAGAACTAATTCAGTTTTGACTCATTCATTCACAAATTTCTTCCTCTACATTTTTTTTTTCAATTTAACCTTCACTAATTTCGTGGTGTCATTGTAAGTTGTTTTAATAAGTTGACATTTAATATTTAACGACACATCAGTATATTCAAAATGATGTGGCACTGGACTACATTCAACAACAATAGTTGATATATATTGAAATTCGAGTTCATAAACTAAGATTTGTTATATTTTTATTCTCTGAACGTTATATAATTTTAAATTTATCTCTCAATATATATATATATATATATATATATATATATATATATATATAATTTTAAATTTTAAAAAAATAAAATGCTTTCTTTTAAAACTTTAAGAACTTAACAAAAATTCATTTCAAATTGTAGAACTACAAACATAATTAATCCAAAAATGAAACGAAATTACAAAATTAATAAGGATCAAATTCTTATAAACAAAACAAAAAGAGGAAAAAAATAATAATTAAACCTAAATGATTTGTATTTAAAAAAAAAAAAAAACTATTAATTATCATCAAGTGTTTACTACAATCCCATCATAGATCAGGAGACAGAATAGAAAAATGGATATAAAAATTACATTGAAATCAAACCATCAAAAGCCAGGAGGGGCTTAAAAAATGAATGAACTATGTATTAAAAGTTATGTCAATCTAACGGAACTTATGGATCACCCATTGTTTAGTTTATTGGGGCTTCAGTCAGGAATTAGCAAGTTAAGGAGAGGTGACAAGGGTAGGATGGGAATGGGAGGAAAAGGTGGACCATAACCGAAATGACAAGTGGCAATTGATGAGTAGAGAGGAGAGATGAAAAACAATCAATTTAGTGAGAAGGGGGAGTCAAGACAGGTATCAAGGAATTTGTTAAAAGGAATATTTGGTGGGGTTGAATGAAGAAGATGGTTCTTCTTCATAAAGAGCTCTATAAATTGTGATTTGCTTGTTTTTTCATCTTTTAACAGAGGTTTATACCTTTGATATCTTTCTAATAGAAAAATGTTACTTTAGTTCTACCATTTTTATTCTGGTTCCTGCTAAGAATAAACAATTAAGGTCACTTACCTCCCTTACCTTGACCAAAATGATTAGACCTTATCTTCTAATTTGTCATTTACAAATGGAAGCAACTCCATCTTACTCCTAGGTGTCCGAGGAGTTCCTGGGAGTGGTGGCTGTTGGGAGAGCATATGCCTGACATAACCATAGAATGTACATCCAACAAGAGTCACGGCACACCCAACACTATTTAAGTATGATATTGGGTTCCTAAAAATTAGCCAAGAAACAAGAACAGCAACAGCAACCTGTACAAAAACAATGATTATTGTCAATTGTTAATTCAGGATAAATAGGGTTTAAGGCATCTTAGTCTGGTTTCACCATTCACACGAAACACCTTCATCAATCATACTACCCTGTTGTCACTATTTATATGAAGTTTATATGGAGGGAAATAAAGAGAACAAAGAAGAAAGGGAACAAAAATAAAAGAGCCAAAAATTCCTTTCCTTCCATTTTTTTCCACCTATCCACCAATATTGGTTTGAAGAGGAGAAAATGGAAATCACACCCTAAATTCATGGACTATGCTAACAAAATTATCATTAGTTTGAATACTTAAACTAGTGGTTTTATGATTATATACTACAAGGTGTTGTTTTATTTTTCTTGCAGACCAAACAAGGAATCGCTCCTCTTCCTTTCCTTCTTGGGAGAAATCAGAGCATTTGTGATTTACATGCAATGTTGAATTGTAGAAACAATTAAAAAAAAGAGGATTTTCTAGAAACAATGATAATGCGGCTACAAATCTTCCAGATATATAAATAGGAGAATGTGAAGAGATTCTCAAGAAATGAATGAACAGACCAAAAACAAAACCATAAACTCAAATTTTAAGACCAAATAATATATTCAAGCATTTGAATCTGCTTGATAGACTTACCTTAAGGTTTCCAGCAACATTAAATGTTACAGCAGTAGTGGAATGAATGACATAAAAAATGGAGAAGTTAAGGCAGAACGCCAAAACTCCAGAGCAGAAAACAATGATCATGGTTGACCAAGGATATGGATGAGTACTTAGCCACTCAAGAACTCCATTGCCTTCAAGTAACAAAGCAGGTATTGTCAAGATCATGGTTGCAAAAGGGGCCATGTAATAAACCGTGTTTATGCTGAAAGTATTAAAAAGAAAAATTACGTTATGTACTGTTGAAGAATGATGTCAGAGCAATTCAGAGAACGTATACAATTACAAAATAGAACAAGATTTAACATATAACTAAGACAAGATGAGGTAATAAAGGGAACCGTAAAATCCCCACTTACACAGTAAATTTTTTTCCTTTTTCTATTCAAATTAATTGATAAAAATATTAGAATACAATATTTGGAGGAAGAAGATAAAATCGTTATCAATAATAGGGGTGGTATTACAATCACTTTATCCACTAACCATCCAATATAAATTCATCCAATCCATTCCGTCAAAAAGAAGAGAATGACTTGGTTGGATTAGATCCAAATTTGTTTTTGGATATATAGTGAATCATACAAGATACTTTGTGATCCATAGGTCAAGTATTAAAAAAAATCCATTGGTTGGTATAGGTCTTTAGGGGATGCAATGCATGCTTTGGACTGAGGCGTTTGAATGAAAAAACGTATATAAATATTGAACTTTATTTCATACAGGATATTTTTTCAAAAATATACTCCATCCAGTAACCAATTAACTAATTCATCAAGATTTACAAAAAAAAAAAAAAGTATTTTCTCAAGATAAAAAAATAATAATTAATTTAATTCATAACATTAAATATGTCTTACATATATATGTTTTTCCAAAATTACCCTTAACATTAATGAAACACATACAAACACTTAAACTTAATATATTCCACCAACTACTTATTAAACTAGGATAAAAGACTTAAATTAAGAGGATTTTTGGAAAGAAGTAATTAATGCAAGGACATTTTAGATTGATTCTTATAAAAGAACCAAACACCACTTCAAATCTGAATTTTAGAGAATGGACCGAGGAGAATAATATCCACTGAATGAACGCATTAGATTGTCCATCCATAGGAATGGTTAATGGATGGGTTTAGCTTGTCCTTTATTAAATGAGGTGTGGATGAACTGGATTTTAGCAATACACTTTTGAGCGTGTCATAAATGGATTAATGGTTTATTTGAACGCATCCATTATAACTCAAGTCAATTTATCAAGCTCATTTATTTAACACTTTTAATTATCAACAAGTTTGCGATGTTGGAGGTCTTACCCCTACCTGACCAAGTTGTTTGCCCTCCAATGTAACCCAGTAAATAAAAAGGTCAAAAGCATTTGGAAGCATAACTTGAACACATCGGTGGTGTAATTTCATCACCAAAATGGTTAGTGGTTAATAAATAGTAGGTTGGCATATTTGTTTCAATGTATGTATTCAGATTCAAGAACCCCGCATAAAAATCACAAAAGAAACATCAATTTGCAGAAAGTCACCTTGTCATAAATGTGTTGGGCATGCTAATAAAAAAGAACAAATGAAAAACATAAAGTTGGGCGGTTGAAATTATATCCAACAAAAACAACAATATAAACTACATTGCAAACTAAAAGAAGGACGGATAATGTGGATTGAAAACTAGAAGAGAAGACAACATTGCAACTCATAAATAAGTGGGAAGTCTACACAAAAAAAAGGACAATAAATATAAATATAAATATAAACAAAAAAAGGGCATAGATTAAAATTTGCACCTGTCAAATTTGTATCCATGCAACAGAGACTCAGCAAGTATAGTTTTTGTAGATGTAGCCAAACAACCAACCAAAGCAGCACCAAACCCAAATACATTAAAACTAAGCTCTGTGATAGATGTGAGAAGAATCCCTCCAACAATGGGTATAAGAGAAGCCCAAATTCGCCAGTCAAAATATTTTCTCCAAACTAGCCATTGCAAAACAACTACACAAGTTCATGAAGATCAGATGAAAATGTTCTTCAAATCACGACATAAAGCATGAGAGCAAAGCACAAACAAGTATTGATTCTTGCCTGTTGTTGCAGGGGTGAATGACTTTATTGTCTGCATAAAAGAAACTGGTATGTATCGTAAGCTGACATTCCCCAGCACAATGTTAATACAAAACACAAATGACATAGGAAATATTCTTCTCCAACGATCTTGAGGGTCAACGGATATCAACGGCTTAAGCTTCAACACCTTAATCACCACATATCCTCCAATGGCTGAACAAATAAAATGGATGCAAGATACCGACAATGGAAACTTGAAATCCAATTTCTGCACAAGAGAAATAAAAATATTAATTTAAAGAATTTCCTACACTCTGTACAACTTGAGAAGTCAACAGATATAAAGAGAGAAATGAAGAGTGATATATACCTTTTTCCTCAAAAATGGAAAAGGAACATAAAGATTTAATTAACAATATAAGGATCAACATCATGCAAGGTCCTAACCAATAGAAATTAACCAATGTCATTTGGAAACTCCCTAAAAGCTCTTAGGCCAAAAACAATCCCCCACGGACGCCATTCAACTCAACTGAATACCAAAGTTTATTTGGCTCAGCTAAATACCAGAGCTTAAGAAGCTTTTACATACATGACAGTTTAATTTGTGGCAAATTAATCACACTCGCACCAACCTTGAGAATTTCAATTCATTTTAAGGACATACTAGTTCATAGAAAAGAACATTGTATCCAAGAAATTTACACACACTCTTCTACTTCAATATGTAGTGTAGTGTCACACCAAACTAAACAAATTAGGAGTTCATAAACATGGTTTATGTCATTATGAAAACTTTTGATATTGAAATAGATTCAGCTTAATGAAAAGACCAAAAATGGAGAATTAATGCTATAGCAATTCTATGAATTTAACATACGAATATCAATGTACAGGCAGCATGATAAGTTGCTTACAGGTGGATCTTATCAAAACTTGTAGAGATTAAAAAGTTCTTCAAATACAGAGTATATATATATATATATATATATATATATATATATATATATATATATATATATATATATGTATGTATGTATGTATGTATGTATGTATAAAGCTCCTAAACGATCACCCCACCCCAACATAATATCATAAAATAATAGTAATGGTAATATATAAACCTCATTGTGTAGAAATAAAATCACAATAGGTTTATGATTAATTTTAAACAAAAAACAATGCTGTGCAAATAACAAACGAGGGAGAACAGAAGAAAAAGAAAGAAACCTGGAAAATCCACTTGTTGATGATAATGACAGTGACATTGAAAGCCCACCACTGAAGGATTGCTAAGAAAGATCTAAACATGCTCCACTGGCAAATAACCCCTTCTTCCATGACGGATCAACACAACCCGACCCAAATGGATTCGGAGCCCCACAATTTGATAATTTCCCCAAAGAGAAATCAAAAGGAAGAAGAAGAAAGGTGGATCTTCTTTCTTCCACTCTGAATGACGTGTGTGATTTGGGACACTAATCACTATTTTTATTTAACGTGGCAGTTTAATTCAAAACGTTTCTTTCTCATTTGCCTCACTTAAATGTTCCTTTTGTTCTTTCTCCTCTTGTCGCGCGCCTATGTTATTGATTACAACGTGGAAATTATGCTTCAATTTATGAAATGTCATTCTTTTTCCAACACACACTTTGTAATCTCTATTCCTCCCAAGGTTTGGGTTGGGTCAAATCTAATTTCATCACAACTATAAATACATATCAATTCTAAATTTTCTTAATACCACGTATACATAATATTTTTGTTTAATACTTTTTTTATGAAGTAAAAAAAATATTTGTAAAATATATAACTATATTCAATGACATATATATTTTTATAATCTTTATAACATTTTTATTAAAAAGAATAAATATATTTAGTATTTTAAAATATAAAAATATCAAATGGTTATATTACGTAAAATAAGTAGGAACATTAGTAGAGAATATTGGTGGATAATTTAAAATAATTCTTTCATTTTCAACAATTCTTAGATATTATATTGGATGCATCTCATTTTTGTTTTCAAAGTATTAATTTATATTTTGAATAATTTATTACATAAAGTTTATATATATTTGGACACTTTTGAAATTACTTATATAGTTTTATTATTTTGAGGATTAGTTAATAGAGAGAAATATGTAAAAGACCATATTGATGATTTATTATTATTATTATTATTATTATTATTATTATTATTATTATTATTATTATTATTATTATATATTAACATTTTCTAAAATAGCAGATTTATTGTATAAGGAAATTTGAATAGAATTTAAAACATCATATATGAAAAACAATTTATGTTTGAATAGTTTTGTCTAACAAGAAATTTTGGCTACAAATTGTATACTTTTGAAACACCTCATAATCTCTCAATAAGACTAATATCACAAAATGTTTTTTTTCTATGTTACTTTTGATTTTTATATAAATATCTTTACTTAAAAATAAAAAATATATTTAGTAATAATACAAGATAACTCTTGTTTAAATATCGTATACAATTGAATTCAAATAGAAAATTTAGTATTTATACTTCTCAAAATCATTGGATCAGTTTAACCGATCTAATAACAAATTATTCTAAAAATTGGTCATTCATTTTAAAAAAAATATATTTTAATTAAATTGATATAAAATTGATAAATTAATAAAATATTTAAAAAATCAACAAAAAATATTTTTCAATTAATATTTATACAAATAAATAAATAAATAATTTAAAAGACATTTTTTTATAAAAAAATATATAATATTTTTAAGTTTTTTTTTATCTCCTATAAATCACATTAACTTTAAATAATATATTTTTATTATATTTTTCTCTTACTTCTTACTATTATCAAATTTTCGTTTTTTATTATATTGACATTTATGACAATTTATAACAACCATAATAATATATTATTACCGTAATTATATTTTAAAAATTACTATTAATAATATATTTATTATATTATTAAAAATATTATTTTATTAAATATAGTTAGATTTAGTAAATTTTTAAGAATAAGTAAAAATTTACAACTAAAATAAAATATAAGAAAAAGAAAATAATAGGTGAATTTTTTTTTAAAATTATAATATTCTCTTTAAATCTAAAAAGAAAATAATAATGTCATCTAAAAAAAATAAAGAACTCAACTAATATACAATCTATAAGTGTTAGATATTCATGTTTTTATATTCAAGTTATGACACTTATCTTTGTAATTACAAATAAATCAATGGTAAAAACCCCATAAATATCTATTTATTTATATTTAGAGTTTTGAAGAGAAAACAACAACCTTTGTCAAAATGCAGGTAAAAATTAGAGGATTACAACATTGATTTGGAAAATGCTTGAAGCAGATTTTATTCGCTAAGTGAATGCTGGGACAAAGAAGACTAGTTTGAAGATGACAAAAAATTGTTCAGCGGTTCCGAATCTGCTGAGTGGATTCGCACCACAGAATAAACTCTTTTTTAAGGGTTAAAAGCGCTTAGCGGATTGAAGTCTTCAAGGTAAAGAAATATCATTATGCTAAGCGAACGGATGAGCACTGAGTGGATGAAATTAAATATTGCGAGATCTTTTGGATATAAATATAAAAACTGAAGACGAAAAGGGGGGAAGCGAGAATAGAAAAAGAAAAGAGAACCAAAGCCAAAAGGAAGTGTCATCAAGCAGGGTACCACTTCTTGCTTCTCTTCTAGGATCTTTTGTATTGTAATAACTACCATGTGTGACTAATCCCTTCCTTCAGGATTGAATGTAATTTGTTCAAACTCTAATGTATTTTGATGATATATTTATAGAGTAATATCTTTTCTAATTGATGTTGATATTTTCATTTTGTTCTTTATGCTTGATTTTCTACAATTTCTTTATTATGTTTCTTATATTCAACTGGGAAGTGTTTCTAAAAGACTGACTTAAATTAAAATACTTGATTTGTTGAGATACTGAGAATAGATTTCAATATATCAATTGTTTTTCAACATCTGATTAGAATGTTGAATGATTTATTCATTGTTTAAGAAATCAATTCTAAATAGATCTTTCTTATGAATTTTATACTTAAAGAATCAGTATAAATGACTTAGTTTATTGCATCAATATCAATTGTTCTAGCTATCATGTTCTATAATTTATCAAATCAAAGAGTCAGAGGGAGACAGATGAAATTCAATCCCAATTTTCTTTCACTGAATATCTTTCATAAAAACTATTGTTTTGTTTTAAATGTTATACAATATCATTTCATTATCAACAATAAAGATCATTCTTTATTTGTACAAAGTGCTTAATGAGTTGGAAATTGTGTAATTTGAATGAAATAGTCCCTCATGAGTTCAACATTCTCCTTTAAACTATTATACTACAGTTGAGTTTGATACGCTTGCCAGAAAATCAACAAAATATAGTACGAAGAATAACTAGATTTATGATGATTTACAAGACAAACAATGTATTAATTTTATAAGAGAAAAAGTAAACACCAACATATAATTTCTCCAATGTGGGACTTCTCTTTTCATATTCTTCCACTTGGAAATTTTAATTAAATTAATCAAATTTTAATTGTACATTATTATTGCATTATATGTTGTTACTTTTTTCAAATAGACCTTCAATATGATCAACCTCTATAAATTTGTCACTACTAATTGATTATCATAATATCTGCTAGGTTATTTTTGCTTTGTCCTATAATGCAAGGCAGGATTCCTGATAATCTACAAGGCACTGTCACATTATACAATAATCTTTTATTGTTTGTGAATGAGTTCCTCCATTATACTTTTTAATCTAGATAATTTTCTCACATACTGGGTAGTTACCACCATATAATTGCCTTTTGTATTAGAAATAGTTACAACATCTTGTAACTTGGATAACTACCAACTTATTGTCTCTCCAACAAGGGTAAACACGTTAAGATCACCCGTAAAATTTAAACGAATATGGTCTTTGACAACTAATTCTAATCCTTTGAAACATAATATAACATCCAATGTTCCTTTGATAAGGATTCTCATAATAACATTCATGTTTTTCACCATGATTTATCATGAATCTATTAATCACTTTCATTGCGTGTGAAATGTTTGGTCTTGTAATGATCATGTTATCCATAAGACTTCCTATTGTCGATGCATATAGTACTTAAGACATTTCTATCATCTTTGTTTCACTACTAGGACTCATACTTGATGTTAACTTATAGAAAGTGAGCTAGACGCTGATTTATACTCTTGCATGTTAAAGCACCAGGGAAGACTTCCAACGTCTACTTGGAGAATTCAAAAATCAAAGAGAGAGTGGCGTTTATCTTTGGGTTTTAAAGTCCTTAAAGAAGCATAGATGTTGAGGCTCCTTTCATTTAATACTTTACTCAACTCAAGGATAGATAAACTTGGTTGAAACATGCATTGCAAGACCTTTAGTAAATAATTCTTCGAAAAAAGTCAAACATTTTTTCTTTTATGCCTCAATTAATTACATCCCTAAAATATTGTTTGTTGATCTCTAGTCTCCCATATCAAACTTCATAGTCAACTTTATCTTCAAAACCTGGATTTGAACTTTGTTGAGATCTACCACCAACATGTCATTCATATACAACAACGAAATGATGAAATTTTTCTTATCAAATCTATTGTAATAGGTACAATAGTTTGGACTAAGTTTATTGTAAACAAGGTTAATCATAAAAAATCAAAATTTTGGTACTAACACCTAGGCGTTTGTTTTAAATTATACAAAGATTTTGTGAACTTGCAAACAAAGTTTTATTTTATTTTTTTCAAAGTTTTCTGGTTGGAGCATATTAATCATCTTTCCAAGTTCACATTGAAGAAAAATGTTGAATAATTGGCAAGCGTACCAATATTATCAATCGTAGTATAGTATTTCAATTAAATAAAAGTCGATCCCACGAGGAACGGTTTCACTGGAGATTTGGAATCATTTGCTTACTAAGTGTATTAATGTAAACTGAGTTTTTCATAAACTTTGGAATTGAACACAAACAGTAAAAAACTATAAAATGTATTTAGAAAAGATGAATTATAAGAACTTATGATTGATTTACTTCATTTTCCCTCCTTTGTATAATGACTAGGTAAAATTAAGAACGTCAATTAACCTATCAATGTTGATGTCACCTACTCAAATCATTCACATTGATTCCTCAAACATGAAATTCATAAGAAAACCTTGTAAACATAGATTCTTCATACATTCAATAGATTTTTCAGCATTAGGTTTAGGGTGTTAAACAATTGAAATATCTATTACCATTCCTAACAATCAACGTATCAAATATTTTTAACCTAATCAA